CTCTGGGTGTTCCACCAAGCCCTCTGAACCTCAGCTTCCTCACGTGTAAAACACGGGAAGCCAGTCTGACTAGTTGTAAGGAGTCAATGGTTACAGAGCACTTTAGGAGAGGGGAGGGATAAACTGGGAATTTGAGATTAACAACAGATACACACTACTACATATAACATAGATTAACAGGGACCTACTGCACAGGGAACTACATTCAATACTTGTAACCCAACATTACACACACATATATATGTATATTCAGTTATATATATATACACACACACATATATATCACTTTGTTGTACAATTGAAACACTAAATCAACCATATTTAGTAAAGAAGAAAAGAAAGCACTTTGCAAAGTGTTGCATAAATACAGGGATTCTTATGACCAGCATTACCCCTTGATGGTCTGAGGGTGGGGGAAAAGCTCTTTCTACCGTATTAGGCTGGCTGTGTCTTTGCTTCTCATCACCTTGTCATTCAAGGCATCGCTGGGCACTTATTCTATACACATTTCCTCATTCAGTGCCCCAGCAACCCATAAGGCAGGTGCTGTGTTAGCCCCATTCTACAGAAAGCTGAAACTCACACAAGCACCTTGTCACTCACACACTCACTCTCAGACATCCATGAGCCCCTTCTAAGTACCAGGAGCTGTGAATACCCTGGTGAATAAGATGGATATGATCCTTGCTCTTTTAGAACTGACAGTCGAAGTGGGAAGATAGATAAAAATCATACCCCAACTAACAAGATGACAGGACCAAGATCAAACTCAGGTCTGTTGGACATGAGCATCCATGCTTTGAAACATTCCCTGAGGTGTCTTCCTCAACTTCCTCTGCTCAATCCTCTCTGCTGTGATGTAATGGTTTCTAACATCCACTCCACCGGCAGCGACAAGTTTCAATGGATCTTGCCATCCAAGCTGCAGCACAAATTGAGAGCTGTCAGCTTCCACCCTGGCCCATGTGATCCTTGTGCATTATCACTGGAGAATTACAGCCAGGAAGATGAATGCATGAAAGAGGAGAGCATCCCGTAACCCCTCCCCCCAGCATCAGCGGCATTGTTCCCTACGAGTGTGCGCCTGAGTCCTCTGCCACCATTAACGGCAGAAGTGAGTCACTTATAAATAAGACTCGGGAGCTTTATTATAATGACATCCCGACAATCAGAAATGCTCGGCGTCACTGTGAAAGGGAGGGCAGCAGGTGACTGGGCTTCAGTGATCCTCTGCCAGGTACATCTTTCAGATAAAACGTCTTGGGTCAGGAGGGATTACAGCTAATGCCCAGCCTGAATGCTAATGAGAATTACTTACAATTGCTTGTAAGTCTTTGCCATTTATACTGTCTGCTTTTCCCCTTCTTTCCTCTTCTTTTCCCACCCTGGCATTAACCCTGAGAAATACACCAGAAAATATCATTAATGGCCATTTTGAAGATGAGGAAACTGATGCTCAAGGTTATTCAGCTCAAAGAGCCAGGGCTTCTAATCCTGAACTTTTTTTTTAAACTACACCATTTTGTCTTTAATGGGCTTCCTAGGTGGCTCAGTGGAAAAGAGTTCATCTGCTAATGCAGAAGATGCAGGAGACCCGGGCTTCGATCCCTGGATCGGGAAGATCCCCTGGAGGAGGAAATGGCAACCCACTCCAGTATTCTTGCCTGGGAAAGCCCATGGACAGAGGAGCCTGGCGGGCTACAGTTTGGGTGGTTGCAAAGAGTCTTGAAGAAGAAAAAGAAAATCAGAACTTTGGACAAGTCTTCTCCGCATGGAAGGTACACAAAATATCAGTCTGAAAGGCAGCAGGGGTGGTGTGTTCTGCTTACATCTTTGCCTTGGTGAGGACAGGGCAGACCTTATGAAGTGACCTTCAAACCTACACTCTACCACGCCACAGCCACCAAGACATGCACACTTGTCCCTGAGAAATGACCATGAAGAGAGAACCTGGACAGAAAGAAGAGTCCTTCTCGTGCCCACACAAGCCAGAAAACTGTCCCAAACCCATGCCCCTAAGAAACACGCCGGAGGATCAAGTTCAGGCTACGGTGTGAAGGAGCGCGGTTCGCCATGACAGAGCTAAATGTGGTAATGCCTAGCATTTGTTGAGTACCTCGTAAAGAACTGGAAGTTTTTAAAATAAGCCTGCACTGGGACTTGAGGCTTTCAGCTATTTAAAGCTTGAGCCTGCACTAAAACGTCTACCCTGCATCGGACCACTCCCACTTTACAAACTAGAAAGAGAGTCTTATGGAGGTCTGGTGGAGCCAGGCTACCAAGCTGAGTCTGTTTTGATCTTAATAGTAACAATAGTGCCAACTAATATCTCAACAGCACTTCTGTGGATTGCCTGACTCCATCTAGGCGCTTTAGGCGCATGAACACACCCAGTTCTGTCACCAACCCAGTGAGGAATGTGCTAGAAATACTCCTGTCCTAAAAATGGAATGCATCCAAGGCCACAGAAATGGCAGGGATGGGATGAGAGCCAGCACCAGAATCTGCACCAAGCTTCCTCTTTGTTACCGAAAGGCCACACCTTTCCACCAGGCACTCCTTGATTATAAAAAAAAAAAGGAAAGTGCAAACAGGAACAGGGAATCTTGAGAGAGTTTGAGGGGCGGAGGCTCTGATGCAAGTTCTTCCTTGTTGTTCTTCGGACACTCAGCCAGGAGGGACCACTCCCAGCCCAGCACCGCCCTAACTCCCCTGTGGTGCAGGGGCTTGCAGGCTGCACCAGCCTCCACCCAGCTCTGAAATCATGTTTGGGCAGTGCTGGGCCACCTCCACACTCCACCCGGAGGGATTCTGTCTATGCTTGAAAAGTGGTACTAGGCCTCCTTACAGACCTGCCCTCCAGCAGGGGAAACCCCTCCGGAGACAGCAGGGCAGCCTCAGGCTTCCGTGGGGGGCCCACCAAGCCCTGGGTCATAACCCGCTCAGCAGCAGGCCTCCTGCATGAGACCTGTCACAGAGATAGGTAGCTCGGCCGTAAAGACCCTGCCTGCCAATGCAGGAGACTCAAGAGACTCGGGTTTGATCCCTGAGTCAGGAAGATGCCCTGGAGTTGGAACTGGGAACCTGCTCCAGTATTCCTGCCTGGAAACTTCCATGGACAGAGCAGCCTGGCAGGCTACAGTCCAGGGGGTCACAAAGAGTCAGACGCAACTGAGCATGCAGGCCTCGAGGTTCGTTTGTGTTACGGCATGTGTTCAAATTTCCTTCCTTTGGACTCCCATGGGGGCTCAGATGGTGAAGGATCTGCCTGCAATGCGGAAGACCAGTGTTCAATCCCTAGGGTCAGGAAGATCTCCTGGAGAAGAGAATGGCAACCCACTCCAGTATTTTTGCCTAGAGAACCCCATGGACGAGCCTGGTGGACTATAATCCGTGGGGTCACAAGGAGTCAGACACAGCTGAGCGATCAACACAGGGGTATTGGGACCCTGTTACTTGGCATCTCTCTATTTTCATCTTCGCTGCTAGCAGCCACACTTAGGAGGGACCTAAGGTCCCATCTACAGCCTAGATGTCACTGACAATCTAGAAGGAGCCAGGGAAAACCTGTATTCAAATCCCAAACCTGCCACAGACCAGCTGGGCAACCGCAGGCAAGCGATTTAACCTCTCTGAGCCTCAACCGACTATCTGTTCAATGAAGGTAATAATAACAACAGTGCCTGCTTTGCAAAGCTGCTGTGAAAACGGAGTGGGATAATGCATAATGACACTCTGACTTGCCCGTTCTCTCTCCCATTCTCTGCTGGTTCCTGTCTGCCTCCAAAATTAAAGCCAAGATTGAGGCAGTCAAGACCTGCCTATCAGACCCCCAGCTCGCCTCTCATTCATGCTCTGGAAACACGCTCCATCTTGGCGCCAGTCACAGGGCACTGGCCCCCACCATGGAATCAGCTCCGCAAGCACCTTGCCCCCGAGGAGCTTGTTCACAGAGTGCTTACTCCTAGTACCACTGTGGGGCTCCAGGCCTGAGGTGGGAGCCCCCTGCTGGAGGACCGGAGCCCTGCATGGAGCATCTCCCAGGCAGAGCCCATACCTCAGAGATTACAGGATGGGGTGGGGTCTCCCTGGGCAGCAGAGGGGTGGCGTAGACGGTAAAGAATCCACCTGTAACGCAGGAGACCCAGGTTCGCTCCCTGGGTTGGGGAGATCCCCTGGAGAAGAAATGGGCTACCCACTCCAGTATTCTTGCCTGCAGAATCGCAGACAGAGGAGCCTGGCAGGCTACAGTCCATGGGGCCACAAAGAGCCAGACACGACTGAGCCACTACACCTACTTACTCCTTAGGGGGTGGTGGTGGGGCGGGGTGGGCAGGGGGGAGAGTGGCCCAGAGAGGGAGAGAGGTTTCTGTGAAGATCTGCTGTGCTCCAGCCCCAGCCTCTGACTCCCTCGGCTCCTTCCAGAAAAATCAAGACTAACTTCCGTAATTGGGCTCCTCTCACCTGAAACGGCAGCCCCCACGGGGCTTCTGCCACCGGAATCCACTTCCTGATAGGTAAGGGTCTCCCACCTTTCCAAAGGATCCTCCCTGAGCCACAGTGAGGAGGAGGTGGCCGCGGCCTCCTGGGTTTGCAGCCAGGGCATAGGAAAGGCTAAGGTGGTCTCCATGCTCCGCACCGCTCCCCCCCGCCCCACACCCCACTCCTGGTGATGCTGAACCTGGGGCTCAACCGCATCATGTGGTGAAGTGGTTTGGGTCCGGCGGACTGGGGGCACAACCTCCTGGCTCTCTCCTTGACTGGCTGGTGCTCCTGGGCGCAACTTGCCCCTTCCGAGCCTCTTTCCCCCTCTGTAAAATGGGTATCATAATACCGGATCATCGAGTTACAGGGAGAACCCAAAGAGATGAGGGATAACCCCGTGCCTGGCGCACTCAGCGCACTCAAGAGACGGGCTGCAACTACGGGGAGCATCGAAGTCAGAGCCTGGGGCAGGGCTGGGAAAACTGGGCATTCGCCCTCTCCTGTCTCTCCGGTAGGAGCCCGAGGCAGCCGCCCCAGGCGCGCACCCTGGCGAACCCCGGCAGAGCCACAGGTGTCTGCGCGTCGGGGTAGGGGAGAACCAGAGCTGGGTGATCAGGGTGCCTCGGACCCCTACCCGCGCCGCCCACACCCTCCAGGGCCCCCAAGCGCGCCCACCCCACGCCGGCGGCTCCGGGAGCTCCGTGGCTCCGCCAGGATGCCCGGACCCAAGCCCTGCCGGCCGCGCAGCGTTCAGCCCCGCCGCCGCCGCCGCCGCCGCCGCCGCGCTCCGGCCCCTTGCCCGCGCCCTGCCCGCTCTCCGCTCCGACTCACCGGCGCCAGCTCCGGGGAAAGTTTGGTGGCACGGCGGCCGCGACGGCCAGGCTGCTCGGGGTTCGGTGGCGGCGCGGCGCTGAGGGAGCCGACCCGGAGGCGGGGCGCGGGGGGAGGAGCCGCGCCGCGGGGGCAGCCCGGAGGGAGGCCGGGAGGCGGAGACCCGGGCCCCGCGCCTGCCGCTCTCCGCCTCCGGCTCCTGCTCCGCGCGCCGCGGCCGCCCCCGCGCCTGGAGGCGGCGTGAGGGGCTCGCCCTCCCTCCCTCCACACCCGCCCCGGGGACCAAGCGGCGCCCCCGGAGCGCCCCTGCTTCGGGCCCGGCTCGGGGGCGAGGCTCCTCGGGTGGGGAGCGAGCGGGGAAAGGAGGCTCAGAAGCTTGGCGAGAACTCCCTCCGCCCCGCGCACACCTGACGGCGCACGCACAGAGGTAAGTCAGCCCGAGGAGGCCCGGAGCCGGAGAGTCGGCGCTGCGATGCCGCTCGGCCAAGTGAAACACAGCCCGACTGACACCGACCTCCAGTGACACTTTGGTCCCTCTCGGCCCTGCAGGAGAGGCCGATCGAGGAAGAGACGAAGGGGCGCCGCCATGGACGAAGACTGACAGATAACACCCCACCCCCAGAGGCTCCACGGGGATCTAGAGAGACGCCCCCCACCCCCAGGTCTAGAACTCCACCTCTCCACGCCCGCCAGCTCTTTCTCTCCAGCTGCTCAGATGAGCTCAAGTTTCAAAATTCAGTGAGTTCCTATTGGCATTCTAAGGATGGAGGTGGAGGGTGGGGGTGATTCCTCTGCGGGTCTCCTCTGCCCTTGACGCCAGGAGCCTGAGAATTCTTACCCGCTACCTTCATCCGGGGGACCGAAGAAGCAGAATTTTCTCCCTTTCCTCAGTGCCAGGAAAACTCCACTGGAACCACGCAACTGGTATCTTATCTCAATACTCCAAAAGAGTCACCCAAACTTAGCAGGGGAGATGGTTGTTTGGAAGGAGGGAGGACTTCCTTGGTGGCCCAGTGGTTGGGACCGACGCCTTCACTGCAAGAGAGCAAGAGTTTGATCCCAGGTCCTGGGAACTAAGATCCGCGTATACCCCGCTGCAGGGCAAAAAAGAAAAGAAAAGAAAAGAAAAGAAGTAGGAGGTGTGACTGGGTGTGGGTTTGGGGCTGTTTAATGGGGATATCTTAGTCTCCACTGAATGCAGGGAAATTCCACTCAGAGGAAGTGAAATGGTGCAGAGTGAGTTTGAGGCCCAGCTTCATGAGCTGTGTATGGTACGTGGGTGATCTGGCTTTCCCACCTCAGGGTCCACATCTGTAAAGTGAGGGTTAATAAAGACAGCTGTCATTGTGCCATGCACCTTTCTAAATGCTTAGTACTTACTCATTCAGTCCTCATAACGGCCCTGAATAAGTAGAAACTATTATCCCTCTTTTGCAGAGAAGAGAACTAGGGTACAGAGAAGCTAAGTAAATTACTCAAGGTCACACAGAAGAACTAGGAGCCTAACCTATGCAGCCTGGCTCCAAGATCCAAAGTCATAATTATTGTACTGTAATTTTCGTCTCAATAGGGCTGCTGGAAAGTTCCACGAGATCATTTATGTAAAGGAATGAGCTAGTGCTCCATAAATGGTAGCTCATAGATCACTGAGCCTGTCTACATGGTGGGGATTTGAGGGGAAAGAGGAGACTTTGGATTCTGGGTAACTGGCAGACCATGTTACTCTGACTTTTATGAAACCGAGAAGCAATGGATTTCCCACGTGTTCCTCTGAGCGGCCCCCTGTGCCTTTAGTGTAGCCCCACCACCAGGACTCACCCTGAGTCCACAGAAAGCCCCCTCCATTCCCTGGTGATTCTCCAGGGCCTCCATATTTTACACTTTACCAGTCTCTTGCACCCTTTGGAACTGAGAGAGCACTTGCGGTAGCAACTGTTATAAACTCTAGAGGAAATGCATTTCTGCTCTCCTCAGCTGTAGGGCTGATAGGAATGAGGGGGGGGGGACCTCGGAAATGGCTGGGTCCATATCCATCCCCTCTTGCCTTTCTGCAATTCAGCGAAGGCTTGATTATTTGGAATTCCTCTGCAAAGTTTCACTTCCTGGGCTGGTTTTAGACCTACTAAAGCCCACAATGATCAGCATTTTGAGAAACATCAATATTTGAAAAACAGCACATCAGACATTAATTGAAGTCCCTCATGACCAGGGTGTGTTTTGTTTTCTTATGGCATTTGAAACTGATGTATCATGAGATAACTCAGGCCATATCCTGGGTGTGTGGGGTGGAGAGGGAGTAGCCAACTTGCCTAAGAATATATAGGCAGCAGAAGAAAAATAATAGCTAGCCCTAGGGTCATACTTACTGTTTGCCAGGCTAGTCCAAAAGTGTTACATAATCTGTTTTATCTATTCACAACAATCCGATGAGGTAGATACTATTATCATCCCATTCTGCAGGTGAGAAAAGTGAGGAACAAAGAGATGAGGAGATGTGTTTAGTAAATACAGCCCATGAGTCACCTCAAGATCAGACAGGTAGAAAGCAGCTGAAGCAGGTCTGGAATCTGGATCAACCTAGATCCAGAAGCCTCTTTTACTTCTGTGGTTTGTGAAAGAAAACTAAAAAGGAGGAATCACTTGAGACCCTGAGTAGAGACTAGAGGTATGGATTAAAAAGAAACAGAGATAAATTACAAGTTTGGGATTTAACATATATATACCACTACATGTAAAATAGGTAAAAAACCCAGACCTATAGTATGGCACAGGGAACTATATCTACTATCTTGTAACAACTTATATGGAAAAGAATCTGAAAAAGAAAATATGTGTAACTGAATCTTTGCTATATACTTCAAACTAACAGAACATTGTAAGTTAACTATGTGTGTGTGTGTGAGTCACTCACTAATTAACTAAAGAGTTAGTGTCCAACTCTTTGCAACCCCATGGACTGTAGCCCACCAGGTTCCTCTGTCCATGGAATTCTCCAGGCAAGAATACTGGAGTGGGTTGCCATTCCCTTCTCTAGGGGATCTTCCTGACCCAGGGATGGAGGGAAGTCTGTAAGTTAATTTTAATTTTTAAAAAGAAGTTGACTAAAATATCTGTTCTGCCACTTGTTAGTTCTCTGCTTACTTTGCTTCTCTGAGCCTGTTTCCTCACCTGTAAAATGAGAATAATAAGGCCTATGCTATGTCTAGGATTTTAGTGATGATCTTTTGGTAGCAGGATACATTAAACCCAATTGTAATCAGCTTTAGCCCAAAGGGGCTTTAAGCTGAAAAATGTAGGAAGTCATTCTGGATTCAGACAGAGTCCATGCCAGAAGCTCAAGGGAAGTTGTCATAAATCTGTCTCTATCTCTTGACTGTTTTCTTCTTCTTTTTAAAAATATTTATTTATTTGGCTGCTCCAGGCCTTAGTTGAGGGATGTGGGATTTTTTAGTTGCAACAGGTGAACTCTTAGTTGCAACATGTGGGATCCAGTTCCCTAATCAGGGGTCGAACCCCAGGGTGGAGTCCCAGCCAATGGACCACCAGGGAAGTCCCTTGACTGTTTTTTATTTTTGCATCAGTTTTATTAGCAGGCTAGATGTCTTTATGCTGCTGCTGTTTAGTTGCTCAGCCGTGTCCTACTCTTCCTGACCTCATGGACTGTAGCCCGCCAGGCTCCTCTGTCCATGGAATTCTCCAGGCAAGAATACTGGAGTGGCTTGCCATTTCCTTCTCCAGGGAATCTTCCTGACCCAGGGATCAAACCCACATCTCCTGCTTAGCATGTGGATTCTTTACCATGAGCCACCTGGGAAGCCCAAGTCTCTCCATAGGGAGGCAGAAATGGCCCATTAAGCAGCCTCAAGCCAAGAGATCACTTCCTTCTCCAAACCTCCAGCAAACATCCTAGATCTGACTCCCATTGGCCTGGCTTGAGTCACATGCCCAGCCCTGAAACCATCATAGTTGCTCTGATTGGCCAAACCTGAGTCACATGCCTATAGCCAGGGTGGGGGGGGGGCAGTCAGTCCTCCCCAAGTCACCAGAACTAGAAGTGGGTGAGAGATGGTTCTATAAAAGGAAATCAGGGTGGGGCTTCCCTGGTGGCCCAGTGGCTAAGAATCTATCTGCCAATGCAGGGGACACAGGTTTGATCCCTGGTCTGGGAAGATTCCACAGGCCATGCGGCAGCTAAGCCCGTGCACCACAGCTACTCAAGCCCACGTGCTTAGAGGTCGTGCTCCGCAGCAAGAGAAACCAACCCAGTGAGCAGCCCTTGCCCCACAACAAAGAATAGCCCCTGCTCACTGCAGCTAGAGAAAGCCTGCCCGCAGCAGCGAAGACCAATCACAGCCAAAAATAATATTCAAAAAGAAAAGAAAATCAGGGTACTATTAGCAGAATAAGGGGTATCAGTGCTGGACAGGCACAGAGGTCTGCTTCCTCACAGAGCCCTTGTATGTTAAATACGCGTGTGTCTGCAAAGTGTATGGCTCTGGTGGGTATGCAGGAACTGAGTCCCTCCCTCCTCCCTCTCCTCTGGGAAACAGGATACGCATCCCACCAAACCCAGGCCACCAGCTTCCTGGTTCACACGCGGAGGCTAAGAAGCTCCAGAGACGAGAAGGGACTTTCCCAGGGTAACCCAACAACCAGCCAAGCAGTCATCCAATCTGTGTCTTTTGACCTGAAACAAATCTCGGTGCAAGTCTTAGCTGAGAACTCTGAGATCCCCTCTGAGCCACCGGGGTTCTCTTGCATGTGCAGAGGGGAGGTGGGAAAGATGCAACACTCTGAAGACCCGGCGGACATGATGCCACTCATGTTGGTATCCCAGACGGTGCACCAAGCTGTGGGCTGGTGGACCTGGCAGAGTGCCGGTCCAGCCCCCTGCCCATCACATGATGAACTCGGCCATCTCCTCTGGGGACTCTGCACTCTGGAGGCTGAGAGATCCAAGCAGGCTGCCCCAAATAGGCAACATGGCCCTTCCCTGGTTTAATTTCTGGCTCTGCTTGTGAGAGGGGATGTGCCTCCTTCAGGACCAAAGTGGACCAAGTAGCCAGCATGTGATTTAGAGCTGTCAATATTGACCCTTTCAATTTGGCCCTTGACTCGGCTCGAGGGTTTCCAACATTGGGCAGGTCGTCTGACTTCTCCACTCTAAATATAGTTAGGCTGGCATGCTGTGAAGCGATCTATTTAAAGGAAGCGGGGCCAGACTCGCACACATCTGGCTGGAATGACCAGACTGCTCCCTCCATCCCCTGTCAAGTAAAGCACGTTGGTCTGCTATACGCACTGCTGCGGGGAGTGAACATTGCTACGGCCTTCCCGGAGGGTAATTTGGAGCCAGATGGTGATATCTTTAAAAATGTTCAGACTATTATTCCATACCCTGCAAAGTTTTC